GGCTTAACCATTGACGTTAACCATTAATACTACATTTAAATCTTTTGTAACTCATTTCTCAACTATTTTTTTGTCAATAACTTCAAATTTTATATATTTTTAATTTATCCTTAGGTTTTAATTTTTTTTTCATTTTGTTATGACTTTACAAATTCTAAATAATAAAAATAAAATAATATGACAAAATATATATAACAATAAAAAAAATGCTAATACTTAAACAAATTTATGGTTAATAATAAATATCTAAGTTTTTAATTTTCTCATCTATGGATTAATTTTGAAAAAAATTATTGTCACATAAAAATAATTTTAAACATACATTTTTTATGAATTAATTATTATAATATTCTTTTTAATTGAAATTATTTTTATTAATTTTCAAAATTTTTTAAAATAGTTAATATCAAGATTATTCACATGATAGAAAAAATATTTATTTTATTTTAGAAGGGCATAATTGGAACGATATAATATAATATCTCATTTCCTTCCCCTTTCACAACTTAACTAAATAAAGGTTATAATCAATCATTTCCTTTCCTTTCATTTACTCATTTTAACTATCCAAACAAGGGAATAAACTATCATTTCCTTTCTTTTGAAAACTCTTTTTTCTTTTTTTCCTTTCCTTTCTTTTCCTTTACTAACTTCAATCCAAACATAGGTTTAATATAAAGATTTCCATAATATTCCTAAATAAGGACTTTTAACTTATTTTCTTTATAAAAAAATTAAATTTCACATAAAAACCACTTTTGTCCAAAATTATAAATAACGCATGATTAATTGGTACTAATTTTATTGGCACTATGGGAGTATTAATCATTCCTTACGTATAACCAACTCCTAAACCTAATTTATTTTCGTAAACCAAAATTATCTTTTTAATAAACTTTAAACCCATTTTATTAAAAAGATAAAATTCTTAGATGACCAATCACACCCTAAAAAGATTGGTAGGGACTCATTTTGTTTTTTATTATTTTAAATTTTTACGTCTAGCAATTGAGTTTCTAGACTAATATGTTATGACAATCCTTAAACTTTAGGTCAATTCCAAAGGGTAAAAGAATCATAGCTCTACCTATAGGTTAGGCTATGTAGTTTCGATCAAACCTAAAGATTTTCAAATTGTTTCTCATATCATTGTTCATCATGACTAGTAAGGCACCATAATTCTCACATATCATAGGTTATAAGTGAAAAGGTGAAATTATTTTGCTAACCCATGTAAAGACATAAAATTTCGACATGTAAGTACTTTACTCCCTTATAAGGGATAGAATTTGGGTGTATAGCTCATGTTATGCATATGCAAGTGAATGACAAAATATGATATGACTAAAGATAAATAAAACATTAGAAAAAACAATATTTAAAGAAAATTTTATTAAGTTAAGTTTGGATAAGACAAAATTTTTTATTGGTCTGACTTTTGACATATTCTCTAGTGGAGTTACCAAACTGTCATAATGTATAAGTCTATGAACTTATCATTTTATATAACTTTAGGAGTTGTCACTAATTTTTTTGGTTTAGGTGCGATTGGCTTACATAACTGAATTTGTTCCTTTTTTATAGAGAGGTCCTAAATTTGACTCGAATATCTTTAAAAGGTAGATTTTAGTCTATGAAATCAATTTGGGTTTGGGAGTACGGTGTTGGTAGAGAAGGCTATAGCACCCCTATAACGCACATCCAAAGGTTGATTCAATTTGATTTTATGTTATCCAAAAGCCAAAAAACTTTACCAAATAATTTAATAATGAAAATTATCCTTAACTTACTCCAATAAGTTGGTATTAACTTAAGAATATTTCATCACCTCATGAGTATTCAAGGAAACTATTTGTAACATTTTGAAAAGACTCTATCATCGGATTTGTTTAATTTAAAAAAAAAAACTCTTATTCGCCACCAAATGGAATTTAAAATCTTGATATTGAAAATTCTTATCTAAATTCTCCAATATGTTGGTAAAATTTAAAAAATATTTATAACCTAGAATTTTACATAAAAATTACTATTTGCAAAGTTCTTAGTAATTTTATCATCAAAGATTCAAAATTTAATTTTTATAAAAATAATTTATCTTCATAAATATCTTCCAATATGTTGGTAAGATTTTCTATCAAAATTAGCCTCCAATATGTTGATAGGGTTTCATGAAAATTATTTTTCTTTGAAAATTTAATTTTTATCAAAGATTAATAAGATTTTTCAATATGTTGATAAAATCTTATTTTTAGATTTTGAAAAAATCACAAACCCTCCAATATGTCGGTAAGGTTATTTGTCTCAAAAACTCATTTTTAAAAATTTAAACCTTCAAATATGTTGGTAAGGTTTATTTATATATTCAAAATTTTATTTTTTAAAATTTAAACCTTTCAACATGTTGGTAAGATTTGTTTGTTATTCAAAAATTCAATTTTAAAAGTAAAATCTTCTAATATGTTGATAAGGTTTATTTATTTATTTAAAAGTTTAGTTCCAAAATTTTAAACCTTCCAATATATTAATAAGGTTTATTTATTTATTCAAAAATTTATTTTTAAAATTTTAACCTTCCAATATGTTGGTAAGATTTTATTATTATTAATATTATTAATATTTTAATTATTTTTTAAAATAAAATAAATATCAAAATAAAATAAAACAAGCAAAGAAACAAATATCAAAATAAAAATAAAAACAAACAAAATACCTAAATATGGCTTGGCTCAGCTCAATAAGAAGGCTTGACTTAGAAATGAATGTGACTTAGCAACTTCGCTCATTCGACTTGCCAACAACTCAATAGGGTCAAATCTCAAGTCAAGCGGCATAAATCGGGTCAGGTAAATGGTAAAACACGTAGATCTTAAGGGAAAACTAAGGCACAAAACGATGCCATTTAGCTTTAGTATAAAAGTAAAAAATTTTGCCTTTTTCTTTTAGATTTCTTTTTCCTCTCTCTCTATTCCTCAGCTTCTCTCTCTAGAATCGTTTTGTGGCCACCTAATTCAGTAAACATTTGTCAAGAAATTTGTCAGTCACTGGAAATTTGATTAAGAATTTGGTTTCTTGTTAGATATTTGTTGGGATCTTGATAAAATCTAGGTGTGGTAGTCAGATTCTGGGAATAATCATTGGAAATGAAGGAAGTAGCCAAAAATGTCATCGAAAACTAAGAAGTTTAGCTAGAAAACTTGTAAAAAAATTCAAGTCTCATAAAAAAATTCAAAAAAAAAATTTAGAATTTTTTTAGGAAGTTTCAAAAAAAAAAAAGCACCAATTCAGATCTTTTGGGCCTCTTGAATATTTTTATAACACTAACTTCTACAAATCAAACTCTCACAACTAACAAATTCTCAAAAAATTTCTTCAGACTTTACTGCCAGAATAAAATTCTATTGCACTTTCTCTATGTTTTCTTTTCCTGATTTTCGTGTCATTTTGCTCTGTTGATTATCAATCTATTTATAGGGAAAATCATAAGAATTTCAACTCCATTAGGGTTAGAAATTTTAAAGCTAATGATTACAACCAAAGTTAATCCTAATCCAAAACTTTCTTTCATCCAAAGGTTTTTCTCTCTTTATTTTTTTATTTTGAAAGGATTAGATAATTTTAAGAAAAATGAGATAAATAAATATATCTAAAGATAAAAAACAATAAAGATAATAACAAGAGAATAAACAAGATAAATAAAATCAAATAAAAAATATATAGATAAATACAGTAAAAAAAAAAAAACAAAATTTGACAATTGGGTTTGGATTGAGTTTGAGCTCGACCAAATTCAGTTCCAAATTAAATAAGGTGTCTAGACCCAAGCCTAACTCATCTGGACTCATTTTTAATTTTATAATTTATATTATTTTTATATTTATATAAATATTATATAATTTATATTGTATAAAGGATAAATATATAATTATATATTGTAAGCAATAAAAAATATATTTGTTATTCATATTTTAAAATTTAATAAAAGATCAAAAAAGAAAATATTATATTGATATTTATTTTTTTTAAAGTAATGTGCATTGTACCATTTAAAATTTGAGCTAATCTTAATAGAATTTAAGATCCGAATTATTGGTTTAGGTTAAACTTGCAAAAAAATAATGTTGATATTATATTTAAGTTCGACCTAGCTTATTAACACCACTAATTATAAATTGGAAAGCGATTATCGCTCTTGTTTTATTTATATCAAAATCTAAAAAATCCATATATATAAAGAAAAATATTGAAATTAAAGTGAAATTTTATATATGTTTAATGACCTTTCATGGTAGTAAAATTTTGCTACAATGACTTCAAAAAATATTTTTAGTTTTAGAAAAACCAAAGTCCAACTTAACTATCATATAAAGGTCCAACTTATACATTGTCATGAATGATCACATTTTTTTACTTTTTAGTTTTAGAAAAGTGTCCAAATCTTCATATCCTATTTTAACAAATTGAATTATGTAATGCATTATAAGTTTTAACTAAGAATAATTTGTAAATTAAAAAAAGTAATAAAAAAGATTTTTAAAAAATGAACACTAAGAGATACATGATTTAATCATATTAGCTTACACTCATGGGAAAAAGGCAATGGGCTACATTATTAATATTGTGACTAAACCTGACAATTTAAAATATAAAATGCTGACATAACATGAGCACAATACAAAAAAAGGATATAAATATGACATGTTTTAGAATTTTAAAAATAATTATTGTAGACACTTTATTTTGTCCGAGATTTAAAATTTATTTTATTTTATTTATAGTTTAATTATTTTTTTATTCTAATAAAAAAATGTTTAGCCATGAGAAAAATAGGTGTTATTAGAATTGGAGTTGGATTCAATTTGTAGAGGATAAATTATAGTTTCATGATAATACAAAAATTTGATCAAAGATGAAATTGCAGTCAATCAAAAATTCCTCTAAGTGTTCCTATAAATTAACCTACGAAACAACCGAGATAGGACACAACCAATGAATAAGCAACAATTCAGAGTTACATTCACAGCATCACACAAGCCTATAATTGTCTTTATTTTCATCCGCCAAATTCCAAACTAATCGCTTCACCATACACACAGAAACAACAATATATAGTAATCAAATAGAAAACCACTGAAAAACAATAGAGAAAGCAACTATTAACAATTTTCAATCACCATTTTTACTTCACATAATTCTAGCAATAACCTCACCATCACCTTTGCCAGAACACCCGTCTTAATTGAAACCACTCGTCACCAGAAAACCATAGCTCAATAATTTCATCAGTGTACCACACCAACATTAATCCACCCTTACTGGCATGATCACCACCAAATCCGTCATCTTTCATTTAGACCACCCCACCATCAAACACTATAATACCATTGACGGTCAACCTATCGCCACCATCAGATTAGCCTAGACCCCACCAAAATCAACTTTAAACTGCCCACTTCTCTTTGTTATACACTACCCTAAAACAAACAACAATCTCATTATCATTGAACCACTTTCCACGCCATTGTTGAGACCTATTTAGCCGTACCCAACATTGTCAACGCAAATTCAAAGAAGAAACAAAGCAAAGTTAGAAACAAAAAAGATAAAAAACAAAATAAAAAAAGGAAAAGAGAGTTTTAGATATTAGTTCAACCTTCTTTTAGGGGGTTTTAAGTCTTCAAATCCGGTGAAAAGGTAGCCACTAACAAAGGGAGGAACATGTCTCGAAATGGTTATGACCGGTGCAACAGGGAAAGAGATCTTGGAGTCAGAAACATAACCTCTGTACCCAGATCTGCTTAAGTTTATCATGTTTTATAGAAGACTAGTTGAAGCACATGAAAGAGGAGATTGAAATGAGTTTCTTCGTGAAAATTAGACCTTAACCGTGGTTAGCCCATGGTGGAGCATGGTGGTCCACAGTGGCAAAGACGATGGTACTTTGCCTGAAGTTAGAAACTTTTGAAGCTTTCGGCCAGTATTCATCTACTTATTGTAGAGAGAGGAAAGAGAATAAAAGTTATAGAAAGAGAAGCAAATGAAATATGATTGAAAAACAAAGAAAAGAAGCTTTTATACACTAAGCAAAACGGCACCGTATTGAAAGATTAAAAAATTGGATCCTTTAGGGTTTGCACACTATTCCATGAATGACTCAATCCGATCGCAACCCACTTTAGCCTTTAATTTTGAGCTGTTAGCTACTCAACTCCTAAGCCACTCCAACCAGTCCAATATCTACAACTAAACCATGGTACTTCCAAGCCAAGTCGACTTTTTTTTTTTTAGTATTTTCTTTTCATTTATTTTAGTTTAGTTTATTTGTTTATTTACTTATTTTTATCATCTATTTATTTTTGAAATGTCCTACATGATTAAATTTCTAGGAAAGTTTAAGGAAAAATTGAAAAATAATTATAAAAAATTATAAAAAATAATAAAATAATACATAAACAAGTTTAATAAATTTTTGGGAAGGAATTAGTATTATCTAATGATGAGATTCTTAGAACTGTCAAATTATAAAATTTTTTAAAAAATCTCTAGATGAGAAATTTTTTTAAATTTAACCCAAACAGTAAATTAATTTAGATGAAATTTCAATAAAAGAAATTGTATTCTTTTTCAAAATAAAAATAAAAATTAACAAAAATTTGTGTGAAAATATTTGATAATTGTTCAAGGATAAAATTTTAAGAAAAATCACAAATAGTTGAATTTCTAAGAGACTTTTAGGTGAAGTTTTTTTTTTCTAAATTAGGCCCAAATGATGAAAAATTTAGAAATAGAAATAAAAATAAAAAATAAATTTCGAAGATGAAATTTTTAATAATCACAAATGGATGATTATCTAAGATATTTCTAGGTGAGAAAATATTTTTAATTTTAGCCCAAATGGTGGAAGAATTAGATATATTTTTAATAAAATAAAAATAAAAAATAATTAAATCTTTTTTCGATGACGAAGCTTTTTTAAGAAAATAAATAAAATTTTTGAATACTATTAAGGTGAAAAAATATTTTTAAAAATTCAACTAGATTGATGAAAAAATCTTAGAAGTTATTTTCAATATTTAAACATTAAAACAAAGACCGTTAGAACCAGTATAATTGTTAGAATAATTTAAAATTAAATGGTACGATATTAGGATGAACGTCATAGGAGTGCTATAATCTTCTCTACACGCAATCAAACTCCCAAATCTAGTTCTATTCAAAAGGTCAAAACCTATTTTTTAGAGACTTTTAATCAAGCTTAAAAGCTCTTTAAAAGGATAGATTCTTTAGGTGGCCAAATTGATGATAACTTTTCTTGTTAAATCTAGCCATATATCTACGGATCTATATGTTATAACAGTTTGGCAACTCCATTAGGGACTCTGAGAGTCAAGCCATTAATTAATTTGAATTATCTTAATTTTTGGTTTGCTTGGTCTTAAATTATTGATCGTTTTTGTTTGCATTTATTTTCATTCTTTTATTTTTTAGCTTGGCTTGTGAGAATTGTAAATAAAGATATACATATATTCTTTCACACACATATCACATGTATATACATCACATGAGCTCTATACCCAAGCTTTGTCTTCTTTAGGAAGGAGTAAAGTATCTATGCTCTCATGAGATAATAATCTCCATAATGGCTAGCGAAATACTTTCACTTAAATTGAATTATTTCTGTTTATAGCCTATAATGGGCAAAGATTAGAAGGTTTTACTAGTCTATGATGGATAATCATGTGAGAACAATTTGAGAACCTTTAGATTTAACCCAAACCACATGTAGTAAAACATAAAATGTCAACCTTGTGTTAGAGCCATATTTACCTATCATTAAAATGTAACCCTAATTAGGACATATGAGTGGATCTTTTGAGCTTCATTCATATCACCTTCATGACAAATGTTATTTGATCCTTATTGATTAAGTTGTTGTATGTTGTATGTTGTATGTTGTATCTTTAATCCAACATCACTAACATATGTATTCATCCATGCCTCATAATGTGACACATTAGTGCATGCATTCATGCATTATTTAGGCATTCATTCATTCATGAATATAGGATTTTTAAAAAAGGTTAGATTAATAACATACTAATCATAATATAAAAGGTTCAAAGATAATTCCATCATCTAAGAATCCAGTTCAACCCATTCACCATCAGTACAACATTGAGCTCGAGCTAGGTAAATGGAATAGAAAAATGTAAATAGTCTAAAAAAATAGAAAAAGCCCATAAAAAACTTGAAAGGGAGTCGAGTAAAATTCTAGAAACCTTAAACAAGTTAAACAAGGGAAATGCCATAAAAAAAATGCCAGCCCACAAAACCATCCCTCATAAAATGTTGGTAATTCTCTTTATCCTTCTAGTTATGACCCACATCAAGCCTAATCCACACATGATGCACCACCATAACAGTTCACATACGCTATAGGGTATACATACCCTAGAGTTTTATTGGATTCAAATCTAGGACGTAACCAAAGTTATGTAAATCTTGTCATTACTAAGAAGGCAATAAAGCCAGTCCAAATCCCCAACCTAGATAGTATCGAGAAAAAAGAAAAATTAAAAACAAAAGTAGTGAGTCACTAAAGAACTTAATAGTTGACAAGAAAATGAATATGCTTGAAAAAAGGTTACAAGCAGTGAAGGGAATTAGTTTTTATGGTTTCATGGATGTTGCTAGGCTCTATTCAGTCCTAGACATTATTATTCCTTCAAATTTTAAATTACCAAAGTTTAAAAACTATGATGGTACAAAATGTCTAATGACCCACAGTATCATGTATTGTCAAAAAATGACTATCTATGCTAATAATAAAAAGTTGCTAATGCAAGTATTCTAAGACAACCTTATTGGCTTTACTATTAGATGGTTTGTCCAACTAAATAAAACTTGCATTCACTCTTAGAATGGGATAGCTTACGACTTCATCAATCAATACAAGCATATAATAAATCTAGTTCTTGATCACCTTTCTTTGCAGAGCATCGAAAAAAAGGTGACTGAAACATTTAAGGAGTATGTCCAAAGGTGGAAGGATATAGCTATTCAAGTTCAGCCACCTTTGATTAAAAAAAGACTATGGTGCTATTTGTAAGTACTTTAAAATCTCTTTACTTTGAAAAAATGATATAGAATGTAATAAAAAACTTTGTTGATATGATGATTTTAGAAGAAATTATTGAAAATGCTATCAAAAGGGGTAAGCTTAAGGAATAAGATACCACTAATACCAAGAAAAAAGAGTTGCCTAAAATGAAAGAAATCGAAACTCAAGTTATGAATTTCAATGGGCAATAATTTAGAAACTATGCTTTATATCCACCATCTGTTAATCCTGGTTACTACACCTCAATTAATGGTATTGTGTAGGCCCATTACCAAGTTGCTCCATAATTAAATTATCCACTAAGCTATCAACCAACCTTTTAAATACATGCATATGGGTCTAGTCATATCACCACATTAGCTTCAAGGCCTAACAACTAAGCAAGCGTTTGAAGAGATCTTAGAATAATCAAGAAAGAGCCTATATTGATCATATTCCTATGACTTACACTAAGATATTCTCAAAATTGATCAAGAATAAGTGGGTAATTCTAATTATGCTAGAACCCGTTAAAGTCACCTTATCCCAAAATGGTATAATGCTAATGCCACATGTGATTATCATAATGTGAAATTTGCCTTACTTTCAAACATAAAGTGTAAAGTTTGATTCCAAAAGGCTTGGTGAGCTTTGACAAATTAAAATAGCCAAATATCAATGAAAACACTTTGCCTAATCATATGGGAGCATAATTTTAGGAAAGACAAGATGTTAAGATTGGTTAAAAGTTGCTTATCATTTTGAGATTTCTTTTAGAGTAATGTTAGGATATTTTTTATGTAATATGATTTCATTTTTTTATCATTTTAATAAAAGACAAGTTAAAGTATTTCATTACATTTTCTCTTTCATTCCCACCACTATTCCATGCTTAGTTTTTTTTTCTCATGTCTTTTTATTCTTATTTTCAAATTCTAAATGATGAATATTTAGACAATGATAAACAATAATTTTGATATTTAATTTTGAGAACTTATTCATATTGATTTGTGAAGACTATTTGAGCAAAAGAAATAGTCTGTGAGTAGATATAAAATAGTATATCTTTTATAATGATCCATGAGTTTGTCCTTGTTCAATAGATGATCTTTAAAGAAAACATTTATGTTTGAGATGAAAAATGATCGTCTTTCTTTTATCAGTCATAAAATCATTCATTGCTACCTCTTTTGTGCCTATTATGATTTCTTTTTTTAAAAAACCCTAATCAAGGATCACCTTTTATATTAGGGAGTAAATGTTAAGAAGAACCTACTTAAAAACAGAAATAGATAAAAGATCTAAAAGATAAAGAGCAAAAGAGAAAAAAAAAAATAAAGGCCACTAATAATTTGAGGCAAAGTAATAAGAATCTTTTTGTGAGAAATAAGATGAATAAAAAAAAATGAAAAAGTAATGGAATGATATGGAATGGGGCAAAGTATCAAGTTGCATCACGTGATAGGAAATGATCATTTGGTTTGAATCCTTTAAACATATGTTTTAAGCCTATTTTATCTATTTCTTTTGTGACCCCTTACCATAGTCTATATTATAATCCTTAAAAGTTCATTTTGATTAAATGTGAATGCTCAAATTAAATGATCATATTTGAGCTAAGGCATGCTTGTAATGGAGCAATGAAATCGTGTTGTGTTCTTATGTTTTAGATTTTGATGTGAGAGAGCTATCAATAATTGATGAAGTAAAAAAAATAAAAAATGAAAAATGTTAAAAAATAAAATGTGAAAAAATGAGAAATGTGAAAAAAATGAAGAAAAATGAGAAAAAAGTAATACTAATATTGAAAACCTAAAAGGGTAATTTGGATAAAAAAAATGTCTGAGTTTAGAGTTGGATGAACAGTTTAACATATGAAAGATCAATGTCATTTGAAGATCCTTCAAAACTGGGGCAAAGTTGGATGCATTCAAAATGATTTTAAAAGACAACAGAATGAGTTTTTGAAAAAGAATTTTGGATTAGTGTTAAAAATTGTCTGAATATTCATTGTTTG